ATGAGTTTCTGGAATTCAGTGCAGGCTCTCTCAGCCTCAGGGGTCAGAGGTCTCCTGAGACATGGGTGAGGCCAATTGCGGGGGTGGACACCTGGGAGCTTAAGGGGAAGGGTGATAAGAATGAGCACTTTCAGCTGTGTGCTGCAGGAGAAGACGTGCCACGGCTGCTGGGAGCAGATGCCTCCCCGCTGAATCATTCCAGGGGCTGGGTGTGAGTCACGGAGGGGTGCTTGGAGGCCCCATCTGAGTGCATCCCGGAGCTGAGAGCTAGGAGCAGTGGCTCCGGCTGGGGGCGGTTCTGCCGCCCAGGGAACACTGGGTGATTGTCTGGAGAGACAGCTTGGGTTGTCATGACTGGGGAGTGGTGCAGTTGGCAGCTAGTGGGTGGAGGCCAGGGAATGCTGTTAGGTGTTTACAAGCTGGGGACGGCCCCACAACAGAGCATTTTTTACACACACTGCCAGTCCAGGAGCCCTGATGGTGTAGTGGTTAGGAGTTGGACTGCTAACTGCAAGGTCAGCAGTTTGAAACCACCATCTACTCGGTGGGAGACAGTGGAACTTTCTACTCCTGTAAAGAGTTAGAGTCTTAGAAACCCTTGTGGGCAGTTCTACCCTGTCCCCTAGGGTTGTTATGAGTTGGAATCTACTTGATGGCAGCAAGTGAGGTGGTAAAACTAATGAACTTGGGGTTGCGGTTGCTTGAGGTCAAGCCAGGTGCTTCCCACGGCAGGTGAAATGACTTCAGGCAAATCTTCATCAGTACAACACAGCCACCGCTTCCTGGATCCTCTTCTTTCGCTGGACTGGACTGAAGGAGTAAGGCTCTCACTTTTCCCATTTTGTTGGCTTTGCTTTAAGGTGCTACTGTGTCTTTAATGATAAACCTTAGCAGGTTTATCGTAGGGCCTCTAACCTCAGGGTGAGCTGGTCAATACCACTAGCTGCTCCACAGGAGAAAGATGAGGCTTTCGATTCCTGTAGATTTACAGCCTCCAACTCACAGGATAAGTTCTGCTCTGCCCTATAAGATCCTTAGTTAGAATCGCCTCCGTGGTGTGTGTGTGTGTGTGTGTGTGTGTCTGTCTTTAATGTCTTTCTGATTCTCATTCATACCGGCCCCGCCCCCCCCTGCAGCCCAGCCTTAGAACAAAACCGAAAAAACAAACCCAAAACAAACCCATCACCACCACTTTCTGGGGGCAGGAGATGCTCTGCGTGTGGATTCTGCTGGTTACTATGTTGTGAGTTAATGTTTTCTATTTTACCTGTCTGGGTTTTCATATCCATCGTCATGGCTACACAGAACTCACAGACAAAACTCATGATTAAAGGGTTTATTAAGGAAGCTAACAAGCTGTAATGTCAGTGAGAAATGCTCAGGGTTGAGTTGTTTATCAGCACACGTTACAAAGTTTTTCAGCACACGTTACAAAGTTCTGCTACTAAATGACCACAGGGGCAAACCATTCCATGGTACACCCCAACGGGAAAGCACTCAGTTCCATTTCCATGGGTCAGTGTTTGAGTGCCCAGAGGCACCCCACTCTGAAAACCAGCCTCCTGAACAGAAGCACTCAGCTGTACTTGCTCTGTGGGGTGGGAAGTCTGTCCCTCTCTCCCATGCTCTGGCTCCCGGCTGCTGCTGGATCCAGGAGGTTCATTGCGCAGGGATCTCCAGTCCAGAGGGCACACTTCATCCTGGCTCTTGTTGGCAATGAGATCCTCCTGCTTCTCAGAGGACTCACTTTATTATACATAGCAAGATTCCAGGGAATCTTGTTGGCACTTACTCACAGATGAATCCTATCAGTATGTCCCCTCCCCCCCCACCTTCTTACCAGACCCATGCAGGGAAAGGCGTTTGGGGGGCGTTAGAGACCTGGGTGAGAAGAGCCATGTGAAATAATCCAGTGCCCCTGCAGCTAAAAGGGAAGCTTTTTGTTGCTGTGCACCTCTGAGTCTGTTTTGACTCATCAACCCCATGTTGGGGGTGGGGGTGGGGGGGCAAACAGCCCCACAGGGTGGTCTAGGCTGTTGTCCCTGGGAACAGGTCACTGCCATTGAGTTGAAGCCAACTTGAAGTGAGCCAACAGGACAGGATAGAACTGCCCCTGTGCGTTCCCAAGACGGTAACTCTTTATGGGAGTAGAGAGTCCTGTCTTTTTCCTGAGGGGCGGCTGGTGGTTTCTAACTACCGACCTTGCGGTTAGCAGCCCAACATGTAACCACTACCCCTGTGGGAGCAGGTGGTCTGATCCACTGGGTGGTTTTAGGTCACTGCAGTCAACCCTTCACATCTACCTATGTAAATGAGAGCTTATTAAGAAAAGAGCTTGGGGCCAGGGGAGGCTCCAGGGCTTTGAGTCATCCCTCGAAACTTAGAGCGTTGCCCCCAAGTCTTTCCCCAGGATTTAGTGACTTTTGTTTCTGTTGTGTTTTTAGCCCTACCGCCTGCCTATGTCTGGGCTCTCGACACTGATTTTTCCATCAGCATAGTGGTGCGAAGCCCCCTGGAAAAGAGGGAGGAATCACAGTTCACGGCAATAGGGAGTAGACAGAGGCAAGGCTGGCCGAGCCGGAAGGCCAGGTTCTTTCTCTTTGCCCAACGAGCTCTGAGAGACCCTCTGGGGGTGCCGGTAAGATCTGCCCTATGAGATCAGCCCAGCTAAACGCATGGGCACTTCCTGCAGGATGGCCCTGAAAGGGCACTTCCTCCAGGATGGCCCTGAAAGGGCTGGGTGCAACTTCAGGAAGCATTCCCCTTTCTGATCTGGATTCTTTTGTTTAATTATTCATCGAGTCAGTCACTCCACAGATGCTTATAGCAGGCAGCTAAGTGCCAGCTGCTGTGCCAGGTGCTTGGCAAACAACAGCGGCCCCAAAAGACATGCTCTGGCCCCGGAGCTTAGTGCCCAGTGCTGGGGCTCTGAAGAGCCAGAGAGTGAACAGCTTGGGCTTGGCAGCCTGTGTGGTCTCTGTTGTAGCTACTGGATGCCTCGGCTACAGCTGTAGCAGATCAGCCAAGGGATTGCGACTGTGTCCCAATAAAACTTTATTTACCAAGGCAACTGGTGGGCCGGACATGACCCTAGGGCCACAGTTGGTTGATGCCTGATCTGATGTGAGAGTCCCTAAACAGACAAATAGCTAATGTGATGTCAGTTGGTAATAGGCACCCAGGACTAACAATGTAGCTGGGAATGAGGGGTGGAGAGTGACCGGCCCAGGGGTGGATGGTAGTGGTCTTTTTGATGAGCTATTGGGAGAGGGTGTTGGCTGAGCAGACACATGAAGGCATTGGGGAAACCAGCCATACGAAGCCCCTGGGGTCGGTGTTTCCAGGCCGTGGGAAGCGCGGGTGGAAGTGTGTAGAGGCAGGAGCATGCCCGAAGCGAAGTAAAGGTGTCTGTGGGCAAGGCTGGGAATGAACTTAGGACAGCATGGGGAGAGGCAGAAACAGACTAGCAGGGGGACAAGCTGTGTTAAAGACGCTAGGTCCCATTTCAAACCTTGGCAAGCAGACATTTCAAAAGGACGCCGGGTGGAGAACAGACAGTAGGGACTAACAGGGCCACGGACCAGAGAGAAGGTGGCCATTGCAGTGGTCCACATGGGAGGCGACGACGGAGTGATGGTTGTCAAGTCAGGTTGATTAATGTTCAGACAGTAGAGCAGTCAGGCTGTGTTAGGTTTGGGCACGAGGTGAGAGAGATGGAAGTCGATGCTGACCCCCCAAGGGACTGTCGGAGGGGGAAGGGACCCTTAGTGAGGTGTGGGGGGCTGAGGGCAGAGGGATGGCAGGAATGGATGCTTCCCTTGATCATGCTTCCCCTGGGGGTGACCGGAAGGAATGGTGGACTCTCCCACTAACTTCACAGCTTCCTCCCACGGTTGGTGAGCCTGGAGCCGTGTGCGAGCAACGGGGTGCGTGAGAAGCAGTAGACACTGGCTTTGGGAGGTCAGACGGCAGTGAAGCGAGGGGTGGTGATGGCGTCAGTCTGTCTACCACTGAGACCTCTCGAGGTGGAGGTGGAAGTCCGAGGGAGATGGCCCTGCCACGCCAGCGAGGGCAGCTGACACCCACTGGTTTGCACCGTGGGGGGGACTCGACTTAACCAAAGCACTGTACATTGGGGCGCCTGGCTCCTCCGTGGGATTTGCGACCTTGCCGGCTCCGTCTCTGAGTGAATGGCTTCCTCTCCCTGGGCCTCCGTTTCCCTGTCCTTACAATGACCCAGACGAGTGGGGAGTCGGAGCCCTGGTTCTGCAGTGAGCCCCAAAACGCAGAGCTCCATGGGACCCCAGCCTGGGCACTCGTCTGCCGTCTGCTGCTGTCCCATCCCCTCTGTGGAAGTGACAGGGCTTCCCCAGAGTCGAAATTTAGATAGGAAATCCAATCTAAAAGACCACCCGGAATAGGAAGTGAGGGGTGGGGGTGGGGGAGAAGTGTCTCACCGGTAGCAGGGGTAAGTATTGTTTGTGGGCGCCTGTGATGGTGTGAAGGAGCCCTGGTGGCACAGTGGTTACAAGTTGGGCTGCTAACCATAAGGTCAGCAGTTCGAAACCACCAGCCTCGAGATGGGAGAAAGATGAGGCGTTCTACTCCCGTAAAGATTTATAGTCCCGGGAGCCCACAGGGACAGTTCTACTCTGGCCTGTAGGGTCCCTGATGAGTTGGAATCCACTCAGTGGAAGTAAGTTGGGTGAGTGATGGTGTGAATGCCTTTCCTCTAAGGTGGCATTTAAAAGCCACTTGGAAGCCGCTACCCCCACCCCCCAGGCCTTGTACCTCACGGGCGCCCTGGGCTCTGTGCACCAGCTCTGTGTAAGGCATGGGAAACAGAGGGCCCCTGCTTCCCCCCTGTCAGGCATTGGGGTTTGGAATGGTGGGGACTGAAGAAGCCTTAGGAGCCAGCACCTGGCCCCTGACTGCTCTGCTTCGGGAATTCTGTTTTAGAGGCTTAAAAAAGACCCCTCCCTCCCCCCTTCTCTTTCCAGAAGAACCGAGTGCACATAAGGCCGTCGGCCCACCCTCCGGACTCCCGTACCCCGATGAAGTCCTGGACTTTGGCCTCAAGCCATACAACCCCTTCGCCAGTCTCTCTGGCGAGCCCCCAGGCCGATTCGGAGAGCCGGATAGGGTGGGGCCCCAGAACTTTCTGAGCCCGGTCAAGCCAGCGGGGGCCTCGGGCCTGAGCCCTCGGATCGAGATCACTCCGTCCCACGAACTGATGCAGGCAGGGGGGCCCCTCCCCGTGAGAGACTCTGGCCTGCTGGTCGAGCAGCTGCCCGGGCCGGGCACCACCGCCAGCCCGAGGTTCACGCTGCCCGTGCCCGGCTTTGAGGGCTACCGCGAGCCGCTTTGCTTGAGCCCCGCTAGCAGCGGCTCCTCTGCCAGCTTCATTTCCGACACCTTCTCCCCCTGCACCTCGCCCTGCGTCTCGCCCAATAACGGCGGGCCCGACGACCTGTGTCCCCAGTTTCAAAACATCCCTGCTAATTATTATTCCCCCAGAACGTCGCCAATAATGTCACCTCGAGCCGGCCTCGCCGAGGACAGCTGTGTGGGCCGCCACTCGCCCGTGCCCCGTCCGGCCTCCCGCTCCTCGTCGCCCGGCGCCAAGCGGAGGCATTCGTGTGCAGAAGCCTTAGTGAGTCCGCTGCCCGGAGCCTCGCCCCAGCGCTCCCGGAGCCCCTCGCCGCAGCCCCTGCCCCACGCGGCCCCCCAGGACGACGGCGCGCACGCCGGGTACCCACCCACGGCTGGCTCCGCCATCCTCATGGACGCCCTGAACAGCCTCGCGGCGGACTCCCCGTGCGGGATCCCGCCCAAGGTGTGGAAGACCAGCCCCGACCCGTCGCCCGTGCCTGGGGCTCCGGCCAAGGCCGGCCTGGCCCGCCACGTCTACCCGGCCGTGGAGTTCCTGGGGCCCTGCGCGCAGGAGGAGCGGAGGAGCTCGGGGCCCGAGTCCATCCTGTTCGTGCCCCCGACCTGGCCCAAGCAGCTGGTACCCGCCATTCCCATCTGCAGGTGAGTGGGCCTTCGGGACCGTCCGCCAGGTATTCGTTTCAAGGGGAGGACTTCGGGGTGTGAGCCTGGGGTTTGGGGAGACAGGCTGGGTTTAAAGCCTGGCTCTGCCCCTCCCTGGCTGTGAGACCCCAGGAAGAAGTGGCCGGTGTGCACACCTGTCGGCTGGGCATGCAGGGACGCAGCAGGTGGTTGAGGTGGTCGTAGTGGGCTTGCTCAGATGGCACGGGTTGGTCCATTCATTTCCTCACGGTTTGTCAAGCCCCTCCTCTGCTGTCCTGATGGGTCAAGTGGTGAACACAACGGTGCCTCCACGGAGCTGACGTTCTAGAAGCAACGGTTGCACACTGTACTGCAAGAAACCCATCTAAGAAGAAAGGAGGCTTTATCTGATTGACATCTGCCGCCACCTCAGCACTGTGCTTAGTGATGACGCTCACTGGCTCTCTGTCACTCACTCTCACTCACTCTCACTCATTCTCAATCTCCCTTACACTCTCTCCCACTCACTCTCACTCTCTCTCTCATTCACTCTCTTACTCACTCTCTTCTTTACTCACTCATTCTCAATCTCCCTTACACTCTCACTCACTCACTCTCATTCACTCTCTTACTCACTCTCTTCTTTACTCACTCACTCTCTCTCACTCTCACTCATTCTCAATCTCCCTTACACTCTCTCACTCACTCTCACTCTCTCTCATTCACTCTCTTACTCACTCTCTTCTTTACTCACTCATTCTCTCACTCATTCTCAATCTCCCTTACACTCTCACTCACTCACTTTCATTCACTCTTACTCACTCTCTTCTTTACTCACTCACTCTCTCTCACTCTCACTCATTCTCAATCTCCCTTACACTCTCTCTCACTCACTCTCACTCTCATTCACTCTCTTACTCACTCTCTTCTTTACTCTCACTCATTCACTCTCTCTCACTCACTCTCAATCTCCTTTACACTTTCTCTCATTCTCTCTCTCTCTCTCTCTCATTCACTCTCTTACTGGCCGGCATTGCTAATCAACCAGGATCCCTTTTCTCCTTGAGCATCTCTCTATGCTGCATCCATGGCAGACATCGCTAATCAATCAGGACCCTCTTTCTCAGTGAGCACCATTCTAGAGCTCATGGTGCCTTTTTAAGATCGTTGGGTAAGATCGTGCATCTCCAGCTTGTGGCAGAGTGCCTGCGTGTATAAGAACTCAAAGAAGGACTTCCTGGTTGAAAAGCGTTGAGGTGGGAGTGTGAGCTCATGCTAGCCTTCAGAGCAGTGGTAATGATGGTCATTACCAGTGTTTAAGGAGGTTTGCTGTCTGCCAGACACAATCCATTTAAGTCTCCCATAAACCCGGTTTGGTACTGCTTTTAATCTTCATTTTGATAAGAAAATTGAGGCCCACAGCAGTGAAGGGCAGGCGCTATTCTCTCCACCTTAAGATGAAGCATCTGAAGTCCTTTGCTGTTATGATGAGCTCAGTGGTCTTCAAGCTCTTTTGCTTTTGGGAAGTAGAAACCCCTTTTAAAAATAATAATTTTGAGTTGAAGGTGAACACAGAGGAAAACCAGCCAAACCAAATTGCTGCCACTGAGCTGCTGCCGACTCAGAGCGACCCTAGAAGACAGGGCAAAGCTGCCCTGTGGGTTTCTGAGACTGTAACCCTTTACCGGGAGTAGAAATCCCCCTTTTTCCCTGCGGTGCAGCTGGTGGACTGGTGAACTGCTGACCTTGAGGGTAGCAGCCCAGCACAACCGCTCCACCACCAGGGCTCCTCAACCTGGAGGAAGGTAGAGCCACTCTGACTGATGTCAGCCAGAGGGTGGTCAGGGGCCCTGTCCACTAGGCCTGGCTCGTTCTGATGTCAGATTAAAATAGAAGGTAGGGAGAGTCCATTGCTGTTTCTTCAGCCTGGGTTCCCAGGATACCGGCCCTGTGATAAATCAGTGATTGGTGTCCTGTCTCCAAAAAAAAAAAAGAGTTTGGGATTTAACAGAGGTAAAGAGGTTCCCCTGTGCAGCTCTCCTCAGCCATACCAGGCTGGGATATTCTCTTGGACCTGTTTTGCTCAGTTACTCAGTAAGGTAGGCGAGAGTGTGGAGATACAGATGGAGCATGAGGCCAGGAGTCCAGAGACAGGAGTGGGTGCTTTGGTTGTGTCTTGTTGAACGATCATGGGGAAATGTCTTTGTGCCGTCTGAGGCTTAAGGAATCCTCTAAATCAGGGCCGGGGAACTGCCAAGAGCCATTTGGACATTTGTCACATCATGCATGGGCCAGACCGGTCAAACATTTAATGTACTCCCCCCTCATGTGATGGCGGGCACTGCGCTTTGGTGTTGAGGGTGTGATGTTAGCTGGTATTAACAATGCCCAGGCCTATCCAGCCCACCAAGACCTCAGTCAGCTCCTAAGTGCCCTACTAGTTCATGAAGTACCTGCTGTGTGTCCTGCGTGAGAATCTAAGAGAAAGTGAAACTGGATTGAAACTTCAACACGGGCCTTCGAAGAGCTCGGGCTTCACCGGCGAAGCTGTGACAATCTGCAGGAAACAGCGATTTACTTGAAATATAGTAGGGAAAATAATTATAGTTAAACTATGTATCCATTCCTTGTTGTCGAAGCTGTGACAATCTGCAGGAAGCAGCGGTTTACTTGAAATATAGTAGGGAAAATAATTATAGTTAAACTATGTATCCATTCTTTGTTGTCCTTTGCTCTTTACATCCTCTCAGTACCCTCGCGTTCCAATGGAGGGTGCAGCTATTTGGCTTAAGTCACATGGGTGAGTTGGTGGTGGAGCTGGGACTTGAACTTGGATGTACAACCGAAGTCATATTCTCGCCTTTACTCTCCATTTGACATTAGTGATCTGAGTGGTTGGACCCATCTGTACCCAAACTAGACACCTCTCTGGTTTGATGTTCTAAGCCTGACCTTGAGACTTTCTTTAAAACACCCCTTTTATGGAGACCCTCACCGTAGGCACCAACTCTCAGATGCCATCTGGCCCATTGACGACCACGTGGTTCTAGGAACGCGAGGATGAGCAAGGTGACATTAGTTGCCAAAAGTCACACAGCGAGGTCTAGGCACACGTAGGTCCCCGGAGTCCGTCTCCGAGTTCCTTTCCCCGTCTGGCTAGGGAGTGCTTTTGAGGGGTGGAAGTTGGATATTCCAGCGTAAGAGACATTCCAGCAAGTTAGACACATGCTACAACTAACCTATTTTGATATTTGCTTCCTGAACCGAGATGATTGTCGTTAAGATGGAAGAGAAGACAAAAAGTTGTCCATCCGATGTGATTTCCCGAGGAGGGTCCATTTACGTTTATCGTCTGGGTGGTACATGACCGATTCTGTTCTTCCTTCAGCATCCCCGTGACGGCGTCTCTCCCTCCACTTGAGTGGCCATTGTCTAGCCAGTCGGGCTCCTATGAGCTGCGCATCGAAGTCCAGCCCAAGCCACATCACCGGGCGCACTATGAGACCGAAGGCAGCCGGGGCGCCGTCAAGGCTCCAACGGGCGGTCACCCTGTGGTCCAGGTAGGGATTTGAATTCTTCGTCTTCCATGTTCTTCGTTTGTCTCTGGGGATCGCTTCTGCGGAGCCGCGATTGAAGTATGTGTTGGCACCTGGCGGATTTGGGATTACCTTAGTGCCAGAAGGGAATCCTCTTCTGTTCTGCACAGCAAGGGAAGTGTCCCTTGGAGTTGCAGAAGGCTGAAATCGATGTGCTTGCTCAGGGGATGGATACCCTGTCTTTCCCACCAAGCCCTTGCCCGAGGTCTGTGTGTTGCCGAGAGTCTGCCACCTGCTTCTTGGGTCTCAGTTTCAGAAGAAAAGTCCATTCGGGACAAACGGCAGTATGCTCTTCCAAAGCTGCGCCTAGTCAGACCACCTAAAACAGCGGTTCTCAGCCCTCCTCATGCCGCCTCCCTGTCATACAGTTCCTCATGTGGTGGTGACCCCCCAACCACAACATTATTTTCGTTGCTACTACATCATTGTCATTTTGCTACTGTTACAAATCAGGCGACCCCTGTGAAAGGGTCGTTTGACCCCCAGAAGGGGTCGCGATCCACAGTCTGAGAACTGCTGACCTACAACAACCATGGTTAACATTTTGACATACTTCTTTTTGCCTTTCTTTCTTGACTCACAGACATGGCCATCTCTATTTCCATATCGCGCATCTATCTGTGCTCAGTGCTGTTCTAGTGGATATGTAGTGGTGTGTAGACATCGTTGTGGACGTATGCCTCGCGTCTGTGCTTTTTTATTTAATCTGAAACTAAAAAAACGCAGGGAGGTATGTTCTGCCCTGCCTCCCTCTTTTCCCTCCTCCAATAATTGAACTATTGTTCTTGGTCGTATCGGTGGGTTGAGTAGAACTGTCGACTCTTTCAATGAGCCAGAACATCAATTTATTTCAATTAACTTTTTGTTTTTGCTGCAGTTGCCAAGTGGATATGTTCTGTGATTAAAGACCTCAGTTCTTCCTTCACAGTGTACATCCCATCACCCCTCTCTCCCGCCCCCAGCTGCACTGTTCACAATAGCCAGACATTGCCTACGTGGAACCTAGCGCAAGCATAGGCAAAAAGAAAACCCCCAAATCCTCCACAGATGGTTTGCATATATACTCCTGGAATTAAATCCTTCTACGATAATATTAGGGACTTACAAATCCTGGCCGTTGCTTTTGCTAATTTTGACATCTCGGCCCCTTTGGGTCTGTGTCTGTTGGTTGTGTCTCCTCCGACCTGGGTCACACTGCCCTGCTTCGTTGCATGTCTTGTAATTGTTGATGGCGTCATGACGTGGCGGTCTACCCAGGGCGTTACGGAGACTCAGGATTTTGTTATCTTCCTCCAAAGGCCAGTTCAGTTGTGGACAGAGCGCGTCCACCTCCCATCAGCCTTGGCTGGCCCTCCTGGAACGTAACGTTGTAACGAGAGTATAGTGAGATGGTAGTTCTTGATCGCAGTTGCCTAGGTTGGCTTCCAGCTGGTGGTGGCTGCCTGTGTGTAGCGCAGCACATCTTGGCGGTCATGGTGTGTTTGAGTCCACCGCTGTCGGTCAGTCGGTCAGCTCCTAGAGGGCCTCCTTCGTTTTGCGGACGCACTGTTTTCAGACACACAACGCCAGTCCAAAGTAAGCCGAGTCCCAGATTTGCCATCTTCACATCTGGGGCGCATCCTGGTTGTGTGTCTTCTCAGACTGACCGGCTTGTCCTTTTGGCAACCCACTGTATGCTCAGTATCCCTGAGTTGCCAACGTGGCAACTCAGATGTGTTCATGCCTTCTCGGGCTTCCCTTTCCATGGCTCGGCTTTTGTTCTGGCTGAGCAGGCCCGGTTCCGAGTGCTGTGACCTGGCTGACACCCTCACAAGAGCCCCCGGAGGCAGATGAAAAAGAGCTGAGCAAGCACCTTGTTCAAGGTCAGAGAGGACGTGGTGGACCCAGGAGTGGAGCCCAGCGTGCCTGGTTCTGCTCTGCACCATTTTCCTCACCCCTACCAGCGTTCCCTGCCGCCTCCCCCTTGAGCAGGGAGAACCTGGTGGCCAGGGCTGCCCACCTCCTGCCCACAACTACCCACCCCCTCCCCACACCATTTTTACCAGTTCTCTCAATTCACATCCGCCACAGACCCATTGGAACCCCACTCCCGATTCTCAGGGAGTCTTCCATCAGCCTTGCTCGTAGGGGCCACAGCTAGCTTGTGGCTGGGGGAGTTGGTCTATGTGTGCGTCAGGCTAACTCCACTCACTCACTGGAGGCTGGGGCTATGGAAATTCTAGAACAGGGAATGGACTGGCTGTCCAGCCACGGCAGACACTCACCGCTCCCACTGGCAGCTCTCAAGGGCCTGCCCCTCTTGTCCCGATAACTTTGAAGAACCCGGCAAGTGGTTCATACATTAGCTAGATCCTCAGAAGCCCCAAGTGGAAACTTGTTTTCTCTGTCCTCTGATAAGACGGTATTCTCTTTCAAATGAGATGTACAAACCTCTTATATATCTTAAGCATAGAAGCATCAATTTTTTAAAAAAGCTAATTTCTCTGAAACGTGAAGTGGCCAGTAGCCACGGAGTGATTTTGCTTGTGGCCTCCGGGTGGATGCGAACACCCCTTTTGAAATTGGGGTCCCCAGGGGCTGCTCTTTTCCTTCCCAGGAGGGCGGCATGGCCCTGCATTATTCCGGGCCTGGCTGCGCCCGCTGGTTTCTATGAGCTCCCTTCCTCCTGACCTCTGCATCGGGTTCCTAGTCCTGTGCCATCGGCAGCTTCCTTTTCCTTTCTCAGTGTTTGGTCTCCACTCTGGTCATGCTCTGAGAGTGTCAATTAAAGAAAAGAAAAGAAAGATCCTGCCTAGTGGCTTGATGCCTCCTCTTCATGTGAAAACCGAGCGAATGTCAGATGGCTTGGCAAGCTCTCCTGAAGGATGCATGTAAAAACCACAAACATATGTCACGCTTAAGGGAAAAAAAGGTGTTGAGTGAGTCCCCACCCCGGGTGACCCCTGTGTGAGCCGGATGAGCACAGTGCCCCGCAGGGCTGTCAGTGGCTGATTTGTGGAGACGGAGACCATTGGGCTTCCCCTCAGAGGTGGGGCTGGCGAGGTGGACTTGCAACTTGTTGGTGAGTAGCCAGATGCCTTTAGTCACGCTTAGCTGGTTTTCAGTCCTTGCGTGTTGCTGGAGAACATTCTTTGCAAACCTGAAATGCTTTTCAAGTTCTATCGCAGTAGCCATTCGGTTGGAAACATCTTGTGCAGACAGATGTGGTGACATGTCCCAGGCGCTGTGTGATACACAGCTGGGTGAGGTCGACGTAGGTCCAGCCCGGACGGACCCCCAGACAGGGTGTTGAGCTTGTTGCTGAGATGTGGCTGGGTGGGTGGTGGAGGGTGGGTTGAGGGCAGCAAGGTGAGGTGATCCGGGATGATTGGCAGTCAGATGCCTAGACTCTGAGGCCAGATACTACCCCTTGGGTTCCACAGCTCAGAGTGACTATGCCAACATCACAGACCTCGTGGAGAGGTGTCTTTGGAAGACCTGCTTTAGAGGGAGGGCCTCTCTGTGGAGGTGACTTCCAGCCGGAGGCGGGGATCGAGTGATAGAGAGCCAGTAGGGACACACACGATGGCCCTTCTCTCTCTCTGAGTGGTGTGTAGCACGTGCAAAGGCCCTGCGGCAGGGGAGGGAGCGCCCGGCATGTCGGCGGGAAGGCCAGTACCATTGGAACTTGGTGTGAAGGTGGTGGAGTAGGCAGTTCGGGCCGCGCAGGCTCACAAGCGTGTCCAGTGAGGACCTGGGTGTGATCCCAGTACAAGGGGAAGGGCACGGCAGGCTGTGAGTGGGATGGGTGGGTGGGGGGACCGTGGTGGCGATTTCAGTATCTTTCCAATCACGCAGCTGCTTCTCAGTGGCTGGGCTAGAGGGCCTAGGGAGGAAGCAGAGAGTTTTCCAGGATGTGAGTGGTGGCCAGGTGAGAGGCCACGGTGGTGAGGGCCAGGGCTGGCAGTGGAGGTGGATCTGTGACATGGGCTAGAGGGCTTGGTGTGGGCTTGGCTGCAGGAAGGTGGGGGCACTTGGTGGGTGGCTCAGCAGGGTGGTTGGTGGAGCCGTGGGCCAGGTTGGGAAGACTGGGGAAAGAGTGCTTTTGGGAGGGGGAGGGTTGGGATCTAGAAAGTATGGAGCGCTTGGGAGGTGGGCAGGCCAAGTGGTCAAAAAAGTAGGTGGATGTATGAGTCTGGGCTTCAGATGCACTGTCCTGGGACTTTGTAGCTGGCCCCAAGACCACATGCTCAGTCACCAGGGGGCTTAGCGAGCCCCCACTGGTAAGGATGTATTCCTCTGCCCACAGTACCAGCCTGTGTCTCCCCAGAAGCAGCAGACTAAGGCTGGACCCACGGAAGAGATGAAAGACACCCACAACACCAGCTGACCTCCAGACAGTTAGTAGAAATGGCTGACTGGGCCCCACGTCAGGCAGGAACAGCGAGTGGTGGGGAGCAGGGCATGCGGAGTGTGTGCCTTGTACCCAGAGAGCCCCCTTTGTCACGCTTTGTGGGAACGTGGCCCGGGTGTCACTAGACTTGGCCCGACGTCTAGATCTTGTTGAGACCTTCCTGGTTCTTTTGGTCTTGGCTGCTTCATCCAGCTTTCAGGTAGACTGGCTCAGGGCTGCCCGTTCATCTCCTCCAGCGGCAAATAAGGGCAGACTCCTTCGAGGGTTACCAATAAGAAGGGAGAGTAGAGAGAAGGTGTGTTTATCCAGCCTCCACGAATTGGTCGGCAGAGAGAAGTGCCCTTCACAGCCTTGCAGGTGGCTTCTCTTGTGGTGTTGTGGGCTGTGTGTTGCTGCTGATGCGTAGCAACCCTCTAGCACCCAGTCATAGAACGCAGGTAGGCTGCTAGCTGCAAGGTCAGCAGTTCAAAACCACCAGTGACTCCGAGGGACAAAGATGAGGCTTTTTACCCGCCAAGAGTGACAGTCTTGGAAACTCACAGTGGGGCAGCCCCACCCTGTCCTAAAGAGC